GTTAGTTATACATGACTTATTGTTATGTTTCTTTATATAACAAGTACAACAACTATAAACATCTTTTTTTTATATTTTATTTAAAACAGTGCGATACAAAAGACAGAAATATATTAAAAAGATACACGAAAAAAATTACTGAAATAAATCGCATTTAACCCAGACCTAATAACGACCCCCATACATACAGGGGTAATACACACTCACACACACCACACCGTTATGTTACATTGGTATTACACTCACACACAACACACCGTATTTTAAAATTGGTATTAACTCACACACAACCACCGTAATTAATGGAAATTTACACACTCCACACACCCCCCGTTTTTGTTACTTTGGTATTACACTCACACAAACAACGTATATTCAGTGGTAATACCCCTTCACACACCACACCGTATGTTACATTGGGGTATTACACTCACACACAACACACCGTATATTACAGTGGTAAACACCCCACCACCAACCGTATGTTACTTTGGGTTTTACACCACACACAACAACCGTATATTACATGGTAATACACCTCACACACACCACACCGTTGTAATTGTATTACATCACCACAACAACCGTATATTACAGTGTAAAACACCTCACCACACCCACCGTATGTTACTTTGGTTTTACACCACACACAAAACACCGTATTTTACAGTGGAATACACACTCACACACACCACACCGTATTTTACATTGGTATTACACTCACCACAACACCCCGTATTTTCAGTGGATACACACTCACCACACCACACCGTATGTTACTTGGTTTTACCCAAACAAAAACACCGAATTACAGTGGAAAACACTCACACACAACACTATACTTTACATGATATTATTTTATTTTTTAAAAGAACTCTCTAACAAGTTAATTTTCCCAAAACTCAACACTGGAAATTATAAATTGTACAAAAAACAGAGATAAAAAAAACAAAAAAACACGCCAAGACCACAACACACACATTCCCCTAATGAACTACATCAGCACATACTGGTGAGGTTTCTCCCTGTAAACACACGTAGCAAGATAATTCTAAGATCTCAGGTGCTTACAAGCACCCGTACTCAAAACATTAATATGGCGATTATCACGAGATTTTAACATACATAGGTTTTTAGTATTCAAAAAAGGGAAAAGGGGTAATAAAAAAAAGAAAAAAAAAAAACTCCAATATAAAAAAAAAAAAAACACGATGTGATATTTTACATTCAGCAAAACAAAGAAAAATAATTGCAAGTAGTTACATTAAAAAATTTTTACTAAAAAGCGACTGAACACAGCAAAAATATAACAAAAATAAAAACCAAAAAACTTAGCTAGAAACACTTTTACCCTTACAATTGAATCAAAAACATAAAGACACTATAACATATTTGAGTCACAATGAAAATTTTCATCATAGAGCCCCTTGAAAATTTATACATATAAAATATGCAATCGTAGTGCTACCCTTTCTAAAGATAACTGTTAGTTCCTGAAACCCTCGGGGTAATAACCCTATTGCCCTAGATATAAAAACCCAAATTTATACACCCATATAAACAGCTCTCCAGCTCACACCCAAGTCTAGGAAAATAGCCCGGTACCCCCTTACCCATTTTGAAAATCCCATAAACCCCTAAGTAAATTTCGAAAACCCCTCACAAAAATCTCTCCCCCCATCTCCCTCCATACACCCTTTATTTCTACACTGTGCCCTATAAAAAGTTGCTGCCAATCTTAATTTTTGCACGACTTCGCCTCCCTCATAGCCCACTCATGTAATTAATCCGTAAATATACCCAATCGATTCTAAAACCCTTTTATTCCCCTCAGTTATATCAAACTTAAAACCCTAAAAAACCTGAAAACCCCCCCCCCCCACTAACCTTAAAACCTTCCCCCATCCAAACCCTTATAAGTCAATACAATTGAAAAAATATCCCGTATGATAAATATCCCCAATCCTCCACAACCCCTTCATTCCCCCCATCCCCGTATTCTCTTATAGAAAAAAACCTCCTGACGGCAAGATTCCTGTAAAAATCTATACAAAAACTTCTCTGACTTTAGGTTTTAAACGCAATTTTTTTTAAACGCCCCCAAATATTGCCAATCTACATCGGATAAACCCTTCTACCGCCGCTACGAGCCTTACCACTGCCCTATCAAGATTTCTCAATTTAATTTGTAGTGATCCCTCACGTTTATAAAGCCCCTAACATTGCCCCACCCTTTATGAACCCCCCCCCCCCCAAACCCCCATATCCTGATGATCCCATGAAGACCGTCTTTTTTCGCCCCCCCTCCGTTTTGGGGGGGGGGGGGGGGGGGGGGGGGGGGGGGGGGGGGGGGGGGGGGGGGGGGGGGGGGGGGGGGTTTTTTAATTACAAGGTATAAAAAAATTTTTTTCCTTTTGGGGGAATTTTAAAAAACCCCCCTTTTACAAAAAGGGGAAAAAAATTGCACTTCCCCTCCTTTGCATTAACAAATTTCCCCCAAAAAAAATTTTTCACTTTTTTAATTTAAAAAAACCCCAAAATTTTTTTTGGGCCCCCTTTCCCCCTTTTCATTTTTTTACCCCCCTTTTTCCCGAACAATTTTTTTTTCCCCGTTAAACCGTCACCAGTATTTTAAAAATTTTTTAAAAATTTTCTACGAAACCCATTTTTTTTCCCCAAAAACCTCCTCCAAACCCCTCCCGCCCCCCCCAATTTCCCATTTTTTCCCCTTTTCTAAAAAGGGTTTAAAACCAAAAAATTTTTTAAAAAAACCTTTCCAAACCTTCCCCTGACCATTCCCCCAAACCCCCCCCCCCCAAAAAAAATCCTTTGAACTTATTTCCATAAAAATTTCCCCAAAAAAAATGAAAATTTTTTTTTAAACCCCTTCCCATTAATCCCCTCCCAACTTCCAATACCCCCCCCCCCCCCCAAACTTATTTTCTATAAAATTTTAACTCCTACTCCATCTACCCCCCCCCCTTTGCCCTTTCAATCATTAGGCCTTTTTTTCTTTCCAAATCCTTAAAAATTTTTTTTTCCCCCCCAAATTGACTTCCAACCTTTTGTCCCTTTTAACTGGGCCCAGAAAATTTTTTTCCCCCCAAAAACCCCCCCTTTTTTTAAAATTAAAAGACCAAAAACCCCTTTTAAAATTCCTTTTTAAATAAAAACCGGGGGAAACCCCCCTTTTTTCCCCCCCACCCTTTCGGATAAACCTCCCCAAAAACCCTTTTTAACCCCTTATGGTAACTCAAACTCATCCTCCCTCCATCCCCCAAAACCCCAAGCCCCCTTTTGGGGGAAAAAAAATTTTTTTCCCCCGCCAAAACCCAAGAATCAATTTAAAATTAAAACCCCGTTCAAAAAATATTACCCCCATACCCCTCCAAACCCAACTATTTTTACCTTTTTACCTCAACCCAAAGGGGGCCCCCCCCAAAAAACCCCTTGTTCACCCCCGGGGTTTTCCCCCCAAACCCTTTTTAAAAATTTTTAAAACCCCCAATTTTTTTTCCCAAAATTTAGTTTTGTAAATTTTAGTCCCAATCCCCCCCCAAAAAATTTGTTGGAAATACTTCTTTATACTCCCCCTGCAAAAAAAATTTAACCTTTTTCTATATTTCCCCCAATTTAAAAAAAAAATCCCCTTTAACCCCCCTTCCCAAAACCCCAAAAACCCCTTTCCCTTCCAAAACTTTACATTTTTTTCAAAATTCATTCAGGGAACCCCTTCTACACCTTACAACCCTTTTTCCAAAAAACCCCTTTATCAAACCTCCCCCCTTAACCCCCAAAACGAATTTACCAACTCCCCCCAATCTCGCAAAAAATTCTAATTGCCACCCCCCCCCCCCCCCACCAAAAATAAACCAAAACCCAAACCCCAAAAACCCCTCCCCCCCCAACCCCTTTTTTCCATCTTTCCCCTTTACCAATTTGGAAACTCAAAAATACTTTCATTTGTAAAATGAGTTTTAAAAACGTACATTTGGCCCCCCTATCCCCACAAAAACTTTTAAATTTTTATACCCCTCCCCACCCTAACCTCCCCCCCCCTTTCCTTCACTAAAAAGGGCTATATTCCCCTTTCCGAAAGGTGACGCCTCCTTTTAACCTCGCCATATTCCATACACATCGTAACCATCTTTTCAATCATACCAATTCTGTAAAAATTTTTTTTTGGGTTTAAAAACCACTCCCCACTAGACGCACCAAAAATTCATTAAAACCCCTTCCCTCCCCCTTTTTTTTTTAAATTTTAAAAAAAATTTTAAAGGGGGTTTTTTTTTTTCTTTTTAACTTTCCTTTCTTTTTTTTAAAACCCCTTTTCCTTTTTTGGGAATCCCTTTGATAAACCTTGTTTCGTGGATTCACTTTTCCCCCTTTCCTCTGTACATCCGCCCAAGACTTTTTCCCGGCCCCTTTGGGCGGGGTAACCGTCGTCGGGTTGGGGGTGGGGTCGCAGTTTGTTTTCGCTTTCCTACCCTCCACCTCTACATATGCACCTCCACTCGCTATATTTACCATCATCCATGCGACCCCCCCAGACTCAAATGTTTTCATCCGTCGCCTCACCAGATGCTCAACCGATCCCAAATTTGCCCCTGGTCCTCCCCCGGGTTCGACGATCGTCTAAAATGCATCCAGTCCTTCACTAAAGACGCCGTAAAACCCTCGTCCCCCATAGTGGGCAGAGTCCTTAAAATACTTTTTTATTCCAGTGAGGGTGATTCTTCTCGCTTTTTTTGCATCCCCAAAGTTTTCCCCTGCGCTTTTTTTCCCTCTTCACTCCAAATGTCCTTGTCGAGGGGTGAGCAAAAGGGACTTTTTTTCCTCCCCAATTTCCCGACCTCTTCCGGTTGTTGCGTTGCAAATTTTTTGGGATTCCCACGCCTTTCCACACTTCCCGCTTGTGGTTACGATCCACACAGCCGACAGACGACGTTCCCCCCGCATATTTTACTAACTTGTTTTCCGAAATGCTTGCAACAAATTAG